CAGATGTTGGCAATTTGATCTCTGGTTCCTCTGCCTTTTGTAAAACCAACTTGAACATCTGGAAGTTCTCGGTTCACGTATTGCTGAAGCCTGGCTTGGAGAATTTTGAGCATTACTTTACTAGTGTATGATATGAGTGCAATTGTGCAGTAGTTTGAGCATTCTTTGGCATTGCCTGAAAGTGAAAGTCGCATCTGACTCTTTGTGACCCCATGGACTATAGAGTCCATGGAATTCTCCAGGCCAGAATACTGGAGTGGATAGCCTTTCCCTTCTCCAGGGGATCTTCCCAACCCAGAGATGGAACCCAGATCTTGCGCACTGCAGGTGGATTCTTTACCAGCTGAGCAACCAGGGAAGCCCAAGAATACTGGAGTGGGTAGGCTATCTCTTCTCCAGTGGCTCTTCGTGACCCAGGATTCAAATAGGGACCTCCTGCATTGCAGGTGGAATTTTTACTAACTGAGGTAATGAAGCCTATAGTTACTATAGGTGAAGGTACTATAGTTAAATTCAATGTATTAATAAACCTGAATATATCTTCACTGCATTCAAGGTACAACAAGAGAAACAATTTTAATAAGAAGACTTGCTAGTATTTACTGATAATTTGTTATGATAAAGCATCATGTGATGTTTTACATTAATTATTTTACTTAATGCTAACACTCCATCATGCCTATGTTAGTCCCATGTTGATGAAGTCAAAACTAACAGAATGAGGTAAGTAACCTAGGTAGTCCAACAGCTGGTAAGACGTGGTAATTTTAACTCATGGCACTGATTCTGTGTGAGAAAAATGTAATGTTGTACAAGTAAAGAATCAATTTGATAACCATTTGATCAGGAAAAAAAGAGGACTACACAAGAATTCTGTATTAATGGAAACAATTAATACATAAAAATATTCCAATTTTCAGATTTATTTGAATCTAAAATGAATTACCCAAATAGGCCAGATAGATAAATAGGAGAAAACAAGAAAGGAAGGATCCTAAATGAGCACTACGTGGAGAAAAAGACTGTCTCATATACAGAAACACCTATATACAACTTGTATGTGTACAGTGGAGAGAATGGACCGAATCAAGAAAATAACAAGACTGAGATGTGCCATCTTTGCCAAATGGCAGGAAGCTCATGTAAACCATGGTAGAAAACACAAGCAGCAGTGTTTATAAAAATAATCTAAACAAAATTTCATAAACCAAAGAATGTGTTTCCTAAAATATTATGTAATCTTAGCAATTTTTTACATGATTTTTAAAATATTTGTATCACTTAGCTATATCCTTTCTTTGGAACAATTTGGGGGGGGGAAAGGCAAAGTAAAATTTAACCCTTGGTAGATTTTAAATATGAAATTCTAAGATTTAGAAACGTATTAAAAACTCTAATGAAACTATAAGATACTCAAAT